GGAGGGGCGGACGTCTGGGCTGTTTCCTTAGTATGCTTTTCAAAAAGTTATAAAAGTTACAATACGATAAATGCTGGAAAACAGAAAGACTCAAAGGATTTCAATTTGGCAGATCAACAAAAACTGTGGTTGGAGATCAAATTTGTTTCATTCATCTTTGGCAATAAAAATAAATCTTTGCAGTACTGCAGCCAAAGCATCACATGACGAGGCGTTTATACCACAGCTTTTTATTAGCATGAAATTTGAAGAAAATTTCAGAGTATAAATTACAAGTAATGACATAAGGGGGAAGGGTAATCAAACTCTCTAAACAACACTTTAATTGCAATAGAGAAAATACAGTAGATGTATTTCTTTAATATGAATAATAAAGTGAATAACTTCAAAAGGCCACTATTTGGTAACGTGGACAGGTTCAATATCTAAGTAAAATCCTGTAAAAGTGTATTGGTATTAGAAATTGTCTACTTGCAAAAATATATTTAGAAACTGAAGCTGTTTTGAACAGTACAGGCCACGGAATATTGCAGGGTCGCTCAGGTTGCCTGGTCCAGTGCTCTGAGCAGTTCACTGCCCTGCAGAAGCGTCGAGCTGCCCAAAACAGGGACGTTCACCTCACAGTCATACCTTGTCAGCTCGGGCAACAGGTAGGGTTCAAAGGAGGGCCCCAGCAGACGACTGGTCAGACCTGAAGGAGATCAGTGAGGTCAGTCACAGGGCTGAGGCCAGGGAGAGGACTTCTTGCCTCTCCTCCCTCTCCTGTTCACACCAGTGGTAATTTCACTCTGGGTTTGTGTTGATACACCTCAGACCACCAGCAGTGAGAGGTTTCAGAGCACCGCTCTGCCTTAAGCTGTTGGAAGTGTGTCACGCGGACAGGTGCAGTTTTTCACCTCCACCCCCAATTTAGATTGCTCTGAGAAAAATGGTATCGGTGCACATGACGAAAGCTGTAGTAAACAACACAGTTTCTAAACGGACACCCATTCCCCTTATATATATAAAGGGATATATATACGTCCCCTTTAATTACTTATTTTAACTTCCAGAAGGCACGTGTTAAAACGCTACCCTACAAACCTCCCATATCAATGTTGCAGTGAAGTTGTTTAGTAAAATTTAATCAATTCCATCACAAGAGTACGGATGGAGGATGACTGGGCCTCCAAGGTAAAAATGTATTAAGTTTAATTAAAATGAAGGGCAAAATTAATTTTTCCTCATATATTACCAAATGTAAGCATTAAAGTTTCACACTAAACAACTGAACTAATTTTTCATTCTGTGAAGCAATACATATTTGATTCTTGGTTTATCACCTTCCTCCCTATTTTTTTAAGTGTTTTCTTTCATGGAATTAGTACTGGAACTAAATACCAACACTTGTGAATTTCTGTATTTGACAGCTCTTACCTGACGCTTTACGAGCTGGCTGGACAGCGTAGTCCTGATAATGGGAACTGTAAAACGGAGGGGGAAACGCTCCTGCTTTCAAATTCTCACCAGGACTGCCACAGGTGGGTGGTTGCTGCTGCTGCTGCTGTTGCTGCAGTTGATTCACTGGTTGGCTCAGACCTCTTGAGTTACAGACAAATTCATCTGAGTTACACAGTAAGGGGAAAAAAAAAAAAAAGTTTAAATTAAGCCAGTATTTGTAGTAGACGATAGTAATTAAAGGCAAACAGATCCTCGGCGTGACGGTCACATGGCGTAGGCATACCTACATCTTGTCACAAAGGAAGCACAGATACAGCACCAACTCTAGAAGTAGCACTGCACCCAAGACGTGCTTGCATAAGGAAACACAGCGTTGTAGAGAGAAAGTATCAGCTCTAGCTCCGAGATGTCCGCACCTTGGATCAGCGTGAGGTAAACTCATCTCCGTTACGCTCATGTCTGTTACCTCCAGAGCAAGGGTGTGAACACACATGAAACCATCTACCTGCTAGTTGTCAAATGTACCTCAAATTGTTCAGCTCCTAGCGATACAACCTGTGATCTTTAATTTTAGCTTAGTGTAATATTTACAGAGCTTATTTACGTTTCCTTTTGAAAGAGTTTTTGTGTCTATTCAACCTGTCTTAAAATTGCGTTGCAAACCCACTTTCTTTGTCTTACCAGTAAGAACACTTGTGCTGAGAGACTTTTTTTCTGTAACCAAGGAACGGTTTTCACCTTTCAGAAATCTCATCCTCTTCCACATGAGGTGCGACGGGTTAATGACAGACGGATCTCCCTGGAATGTGAAGAAAAGCAAAATAAATGATTACACCGATGACCATGGTGAGTCCCAAGCTGTGAAGGGGATGCATTTCTTATGATTACCCCACTCAGCTGTTGCAACGCTTGTTCCTCATAATCCAGTTGTCGCTTCAGTTTCAAGCTGTTAGACAGAGCAAGTCTTGCTGGGTTTATATCTATGCCTCGTTGCCCAAAAGCATCCAGGGGCCTGTGGAGAAACAATCTCTGGGTGAGGGAGCAGTGAGGCAAACCTAAACCATCTTGCTCATTTATACAGATTCTTCTTTCATTTAAGGTGTCTTTGACATATGAGAGTGGACAGACCTCAAACAAATGTTTCTATTTCCTTTTGTTAGTCATTCCACAAGCTTTGGAAACTTTTGACTTTTGGGATCAAAGACTAATGAAAGTCTAACACAAACAGCCTCTAGGGATCTCCAGGCAGACATAAAAATGGTGTGGAAAAGAAAGTCATGTGATTTTTAAGGATGGGATTTGGAGAGCCACGTCTGTCCCCTTGCCCTGCATACTAAATATGAACACACAGGTTGCCCTCTGGGGACAAACCCTCTCTTTCACAGACATACTCAAACACTGGTATTTCTGCCAACTTGAAAACCAGAAAGCAAACTGCAGGCAAACTGCGCAGCTTCATGTTTTAAAACAACCATTGCTATTTTATGTACTTCCTGAATGTTTTAGCGTGACCAACACTGAAGACTCCAGAGCTACAGAGGAACTTCTAGCTACGGTAGGAAACTTCTAGCCTCTGACCCACATCTCATCGCATACTGTTCACGTGTGAAGCAAGTGAACAAGGTGAGGAAGGGTTGTAGAAAAAAACCCTGTCATTTTAAATCTTAGCTGTAGTATTTACATAGGCTAACAATAAATGTACTGTCATCCCTCTCTCTCCCCTATTTGTGTTGTGCAAAAAATATATGCAGGTTAAGAAAATATGCATGGGTCCCCGCTTATGCTGGACCAGTAATCCTTTTCAGTACTCTTCTTAAACTGCATAAAGTCAAGCAGGTTTTGCAAAATTACTGGGGTAATTTTTACCTGACCAGCAGGAAATCCGCTCATGCATCCTTATAGGCAATGAAAAATTAGCCCACTTCTGCTTCCACCAGACTCACTGCCACTGGGAGAGGACCACACTAATTTCCCCAGAGGTGCAGTCTGATGCCTATCAAAACAACTTATTCCAGTTGAATTGAGAAAAGTAATTTTTCAAGATTATGACCCCTCTGATCCCCTATAATATTTTCTGAGTAAAATACATACTTATACCACAAAAACTATTACCTTTTTTTATATATGGGCACGCTCGGAGAATGTACTGGTGGTGGCCCTGAGGGGGAACTTGATAGGGATCCTGAGTATTTATCCATGAGTCTCCATTTAGCAGGAACATATTCTAACGGGGGATCAGGTGGCCACTGGGTGTTTGGTCTTCCTCCCATCGAAGACAGGGGAGTGCTGGCTTGGTCATGGTACGGTGGCAGCGATGACCTACTCGCATTGTTGAAGAACACCGACGACAGGGACCCATGACCAGGGTTAATGTTTTTATTTGATAGCTGTGGGCAATATTTCTCTGGGAGGAACTGATTCTGTGAAGCAGAAGCAAGGGGTTGGAAGATGGTACTCATGCTACTTAGACTCTGCTGGGTATTTTGTGCATTTTCAGAGAGAGGACGCTCTTCTTGGCAGATTGGGCTGAGCTGGAAGTCTTCTCCATCCATAGGAATGTAAGGAGCCAAAGTTTCAAGGTCCAGTTCATTGAAGTCAGTCTGTGCAAAAATAAAGTAAACCCATTAGAAAACTAGAAGTTAATAATAGTTGTGGCAGGCAGTGTGATATGGAATACTAGTGCAGGTGAAGCTGAAAAATCACTGTATGCCAAATTTACCTATGTGAAACCGGCTAGCTCCTATTAAAAGATACCTCATTTTTGTGACTAGCATACATGTTCATCATATCATCAGCAGCAAAGTAAGGAAACAACCTGCAGGGAAAAATCTCCCAGATAAGCAGTGTTTGCTAAAGCAGCTTGCATGCAGCCTGCAGCATCAGTGTGATTTGAAGTAGACCTTGTGTTTCATTATGCTTTGAATAACTTATCTGCCAAGACTCTACAACATGTGGCATGTAGTTCAACCTCAGCCTTTTCCATGCTAAAACAGAAAACACAGCTTTCTCATAAGCCAGCTACATGGAAAAAAGTGTCGAAAAGTGCAAAACTTTAAAAAAAAAAAGTAGTTGGAAGGACACTATTGCACTTAAATCTGTATTTTGTTTTTTCCTTGGAGGACTCGTCATATTTATATTCGTTTCTCTTGGCGTTCAACCAGAGCTGAACAGAGAAGGAAATCAATGTTGGCCCACCAGTCAGCTCACGGGGCACTTTTCCAACACTCATTTTTCCCACCAAAGCTGCTGGTGGGGTGGGACACACCTCAGCAAGCAGATATGCTCAATCTGACAAAACTGAAGTTTGCGCGTGTCAAGTCTTGCACCGAGTTTGATCCTGGTCCATATTTTCCTCCTATCTGCCCGCTCTTTCTATGGCTTTCATTGCTGCTTCTAAGTCCAGGCTTAGATGAAATTTCCTCAGGACACAGGCGACAGCCTACCTAAGCCTGCAAACGGCACTGGCAAATTGAGGCCACAGTCACCCCAAACTTTCCACAGGAAATACAGCAGGAGATGAGTGTAAGGTCAGCCTACCTAAGCCTGAAAACGGCACTGGCAAATTGAGGCCACAGTCACCTCAAACTTCACACAGGAAATACAGCAGGAGATGAGTGTAAGGTCTGAGCCGCCAGCCAGCAAGGCCGGTTCCTTTCTCTTAACTATAAAGAAGTATAAGCTCTTAACAAAGGCATTTCAACTAAGGCCTACACCTTTTATTCACTAGCTCACTTGATGTAATGTTATAATAGTGGAGGATTAAGAGACATATTTACAGAGGGAATTTCTACACTTACACCCTGATTAGAATGCAGGAGGTGGAGACTCTATGTTACTTTATGTGCAAGTCGTTATCACATCTCTCTGAAATCCTCCAAGAGGTAAGACAAGAAAAATATATTCAAAATGACAGTTTTCATTTTGTAGTTAAAGGAAATACATGCTACGAGGGGCATTCCTTTCTCATTTTGACATTTTGCAAGAATTAGTTTATTTATATTTTGTTCTGGAAAGGATGTTTGCTCACTAGTCATTAGGCCAGATTAAAAAAAATTGCTGCTGCTTATATCCCTTATCCAGTCTACAGAAACTTCCAAATTCTGAAAGCTCACTGCTTTTTCTTTCTTCTTCACAGTGCCACCACAGTGACACCCTTGGGCACTTGCTTCAGCGAGAGCTAGGGACAGAAATTTACACCCCAGCTTTTGAGAGTGTGTATTTTTGTTAGTGTTGTGTAATAAAGTTTTGGTGTACATGCGCAAGTGCAGTTCGCATGTACATTACTGTATCTGCACACACAGCATATTTTTATGGCTTTTGGAAGAGATATTAGTTCCTTACCTGGGAGCTGCACTGACTTTTGGACTCTGTGTCCATGGCAAAGAGTTTTTCAATCACCTCAATCTTAAGATCTTCATCCACAGAACTGTAATAATCTCCTGGGCTGCTTGGCTGCACAGAAATAAGAATTTGCTATAAGCAGCAAGACGCCATAGTACTGGCTTAGCATCATACAGTTTATACTGTGCTATTCAGTAACAGCTCTTTCCTATGATACCAGGCTGTATTATATTGTGTCCTCAGAACCCCAAACTGTCTGACTCGATCATACGCTTTTCTCTAACACAAGATTACTTGTCACTACAGAATTTGAGAACTATACTGATTAACAAAGGCACACAGTACAGGAACCTCGCTGTCGTCTTAGTTTAAATGTTTTCTTGGCAACTCAGCCCAGCAACATGAGATGTACACTATTAAATACCTGTGTCAAGAAGGGAGATGCTTAGCACTACCTCAGCGTCTTTATTAAAATTGGACATCCTCTAGTAAAGGCTGGCTAAGAGTGGCCCCAGCTCTGGCGGGCAATGCCCTGAAAGCACGTTCGTTCTTTCAGTGAGGAACTCCATGGAGCTGCTCTCAAAAGCCTCAGTTGGGTGAAGTTCCTGGACTAGAGACTACAGCTTCTAGTTAACAGACAGAAAGTGGCCACACAGGTCTGGGGCAGTGTTGCTAGTGACCACACCACTTTGCATTGGCTTTTTATTTAAGGCTAACTCCCTGAAAGGTGGTAACATGTTCTTCTACTAGCTGTTTTACAGGTTATGGTAATTACTGAGGACAGCTGGGAGAAAATGAGGACTGCAATGTAAAGGCAGGATATAGTTCCCATTTGATGTCTTCGCTATTGATGCTTAAGATACATGCAGCGCAGTTCACTCTAAAAAAATACACTGGGCCTTGTTAATAAGCATCGGGACAGGACTGCTAACATGAGAACACCATCTACATATTATGATGATGACTTACTTACAAAACATAACATGCTTTTTTTTTTTTTTTTTTTCATGTTTAAGCGTTTCTTACCGTGGAACAGCTACAGTACAGCTACTGTTGCTGCTTGCACTGGGAGTACTGCTGCCAGGTGCAATCTGAGGCACTGTAAAGGATGGTATCGTCAGTGTTTCACCTTGAGCAGTGTGGCTTTTCACTTCCACTGGCCAAGCTTTGTTTGGTGTCAGTACAGCACTGGTGAAGGCAGGGCCTTCCTCAAACTTCTGTGTCCCTGCAAGCAGTTTTAACAATATTAATGGATGCTTTTAGGTTGTGCTGTGTTATGATATAATTGCAGCTATTCATTGAAAGTAAACACTGCTCCTAGTTGCCATGACAATAAGTTGGCATAGACTTAATGCATGTTGTTTAGTCAGCAAGAAAGCCTGATTCTGCTCTCATTCACAGAAATTTTCCACTGGTGTGAGCACGTGGGCTCTTACAGCCATCACTCCTGATTTGTACACACAGCTAACAGACCTTGCCTGTTAAGTTTCTAAACGTAGGCTCATATGTGGTTCTTTGTTGTACAAAAATTATTTATACAAATACTAACCAAAGTCCAGAGAAATAATGGCATCGCCAGGTGTCGGTGCCAGTTGAGCAAGTTCCTCTGGCTCCTCCTTTAACTTAGTAAACAAGAAGTCACTCTTCTCTGTGCCAGGGATGCCGCTTTCATAGGCGGTGCTCATCGTCAGCAGGTGAGGCTTGAAGAGCGATTCCGTTTGGTCCATGGAGAACACAACATCGTTCTTCTCAATTTCACTAACAAGAAAATAGGTTTTAGGTATTTTGCACTCTCAAAAAAAAAAAAGATGCGGGTAATGTAGGCAGTATAAACTCTCTAACGCTGGGGCCTGTGCAAGCGTTTTGGCCTCTCTCGGTCGCATGCCAGGCTCTCGACAGGCGAGGCACGGTTCCAGGGTTGCTGAGCACCACCATCTCCGATGACGCAGAGAGTGTGGTCAGGACTTCTGTGGGAATACTCAGGGCTTTGTTGCTCTGTTTTTTAAAGGGATGTAGTCGAGGCCATAATGACCCAGACTATCACTCAAACAAGTATTTCCTATTTTGGCCCCTTCTAGGACCAAAACCACTTGAGTTTTGCCAAATGGAGGCAAAACTCCTGATTGGTCCCGATTTTTGAGGTGGAAAACAGCTTCTCCTAGCAACATGAGATACAATTACTATTTCATTTTATGTCTCTGTCACAGCATTAGAAAACCAAAACATATTAGCAGTTGTGTTACACAATAAAATCTTCAGTGCAAGCTTTATGCTCTGTTGTATCAGCAGAGCAGCCGCTCTGCAGAAGAGAAGGGCTGTGGTGTATTTCAACAGCGTGTATGGGAACGGGCATGCCACATTTTTCATCGATGTCTAACATCAGTAAACAAGACTGAACAAACATGACTAAACTGATTTCAGAATAACAACACTAAATAAATAGACCCTTCAAAAGTTCCTCTGGTTATTGCATTTCTTTCAGCACATGAATCTGTATGTGGTTTTTCTGTCCTGTATGACTTACCTCAGCACATAGTTGACACAGACGATACACTGAGGCTGTAGGTTGCGCGTGTTGTAAATCACCGTTCCTTGAGTCTCCAGCCATACGTATCCACCATGCTTGGCAAGCATACGGTACTGGCCTGTCACTACTTGACCTTTTGTACACACTGAGAAAAGAGAGCAGAGAGATATAAATAATGCAGCAGGACAGGAACGCACAATATGTAACACTTGTTTTAAATAAACCTGCTTTCTTTCCATGCTAAAACCTTGCATATTAAGTTTTCATTATGCAAAACTGCACCAAGACGTTTGTTAGCAAGGATGCCTAACTTTGGGAAAATTCAGCCATTTTAAATGTAAAAGGGGGTGTTCATTTCAGGCTTCCACTCAAGACTGGAAATTTGAGTTCTGGCATTTGAGTTCTTGAGATGGTCTAAGTATTCAGCTCAGAGTGTGCTTTTTTTTTTTTTTTAACTTTGTGTAAGATCCCAAGTGCCCCCCAAATAATGCCTGCTGACTGCATGTTTCTTGGGAGTGATTCCCTGTTCTGGGGGTGCCTCAGTTTGGGCTCCCAAGCTGATGTGTAGAGATGTGAATTTATTTAGGAACTATTAGATAGCTTCCTCATGTATGTGACGGATAAGCCCAAGAGTCAGATGATTTAAAAGCTATACTCACAAAAATGTAAAAAAAAATCATGGTTTAAATCTATACCTGTCTCTTTTTATACTTTAGAGTCAGGAGCTGGAGATACCAACATCACAAATAAAGTGACAGTGTCACTAGCACAGCATTAGTCTTCAGAGGCTGAAGAAGTAATATCATTCTTCAAAAAGTATAAATATTAAGAACAGTAAATGAGACTGTTTTGCCTAGGAGACAAAAATTAAGCTGAACTACTCTTATTTTTCTGTCTGCTTGAACTGTGTTGTTCTTCTGCAATAGCTTGAAATTAGCAGCCTAAAAGGAATCAAGACCCATGTGACAAATCAAATAACGTCTACTGAACTCAAGTGTGTTTTTGAACTAGCCTGTGTTTCTCAATAAACTGACAATAGTACACTTCGAGTTTAAAGCTTCATCTAGATGTCTGAAGGGTGAACTTCCCCCCCCCTCAATATTTTGTAATATTTGAAGATAATCAGTTTTCAGTGCGGTGCTTTGGACTTCTGAGATGTAAAGTTTTATGATGCCCTGTCTGTTGGAAATACTTTCCTAAAAACAATGAATATTGTCATGCAATTCACAGTTGTCAGCTGAGGAAAAATATCGTGGATCAATGGCAATAAAATCCAGGCTGGAGTATGCAAGCAGTGCTTTTATGGCCCAGGTTTGGCTGGGAAAGGGGGGCTAAACCATGACATCGTACTAATAAGAGTTTGTAAGCAGACGTAGTTGCACTGAGTAGCAAAAGTGGGAAACGGCTCAACAAAACCTTTGACCACACTGGCAGCCTTTCATTTTAAACAGCTTTTATGCCTGCAGACAGCATGCCATCAAACTAATGCCCTAAAAATAATGCAATTTGACTCCGTAAGGCTGGAAACTTGATTCTGCAGTCTTTGTACAGAAAAAATTCCTTGTGAATGTGGCCATTAACAGAAGCTGTTTATTGTTGGTCTCCCCTATATCACCACCATACAAATGTACAAATTGAGGCCTCTGAAATGCAACAACTGTTTTGCAGATAATTGTTGCTGCGTTTATCCTTCTATCTCTGAAGTTTGTTTGTTTTCTTCCTAGGATTATTTAATCATCCTTCATTTAATTTATTTAGACAAAGTAGAACATCACTTTTATTGATTAAATACTTCTGGAACAAAAGCAAAAGGCTTTAATTTCAAAGTGTTTTAGTGACTGGACTGCCCTGCTCTGCTTTGTGAAACATAATTACACTGCTTCTTAATCATCAGCCCATCAGTAAGAGTCACAGTGTAGGCACCTGTTACATTACAAGGAAGCTTTTTACTGCTTTAATCTTTTTTATTATTATGCATGTCATGTTCTGATATAATAAAGTACAGCAGAATCCCTCCATGGGGTAATCTCATAGATTACCAATACACTCGTAACTGCTGACTTCTGCTGACTTTGTTATCAACACCACATTTAAGGTTCTGCCTTCAGAGTGAACATCTCACTTCTTTCTCTCTCTCTCTTTTTTTTTTTTTAGTTTTTTTTTTTTATTATACACTACCTGTATCTTTATAGAACTAGTAACATCTCAATGAAACAGGCTCCAGTTATATTCCTGATCTTTGGGTGGAGAAAGGGGGGGAGGCAGCGATGAATTTAATTGAACACAAAATTTCTTTTAATTGCTGAGAGACACTTGAGAAATACGTTTCACTTGGAAAGCTTGTCGAACTTCTGCTACGTACTACCAAGTGGCAGGTCCCGGATGGTGACGTTCACCTCCCCACTGAAGTCAACAGCAAAGTTGCCACTGGCTTTAGTGGCAACAACACCAGACTCTAAATGGAAACCACTATAGACTAATCGCTGAATTGGAAAATATAGCTCTGCAGTCAATCTTTTGTCTAGATTTATGTGACAAAGATTTTCATCTTGCTTGCCTAACATGTGAAAACATGCTAAATACTGCCAAACACACTCTAATCTTCCATTTGATGGTGACTAATTAAGACTTTCATACTCTATATGTAGCAATACTTCCAGCCAAGAACACAAAAACTGTTGTGGCTTTTTTT